CGTGGGTGGGAGAAGAGGGTGAGGGAGCTTGGGGAGAAATTGAAGGCAAAGTGATGCGCTAGTTCTTTCTTGGGTTGGAGCTTTTTGTGAGGGGGACGCGAGATATTGTACATGGACTCGAGGATGACCGCCCCATCCGTTATATGTACACTGGGTGTACACTGTACAGTGACTTTAAAGGCTGCACATATTGTGTTTGGTTTTAATGAATGACCAGATCGATGAATGATATCCCGACACTTTTTTTTATTTGGGTATCAATATTTCAATGACGGTCATAGCACATCATGATCTACCATTACCCCCTTGATGAATTACTTTGCCTACCGTAGCAAGTTGTAACAACACGACAACGCAACACACAACTGTACGCCAGTTCTGTGATGTACAAAGGGCTGAATGAGCATTTGCAAAATCCGACAGAACCTTGGGCGCCTGCTAGATACTAATGGGTAGGGATTCATTTGGTGAGATGGGTCGGACATAGCATTGTAAGGGAGGACATTCTGCTAGCCACGGACACCGGCTATAGGTAACCTTTGTACCGGTTCGACGTACTACGACTTATATGGGTCTCCCTTTGTACTCACCTACTATATAATTGTCGGTCCTTACTTTTCATTACCCCAGTGAATAAACTCCCCCTCACTCATTCTCTCAATGGTCCGAGTCATCCCCCGTCGAACTCAATAGCAGCACTACAGCATTAGAGGCTGGCTAAGCTGGTGTGTGGACTTGACATCTGTTTCTGCTGGGGCCTCGCAATTAAATAACTGGACTCGTGGAGTTTCAAGCATCGATCAGGCACTCCGTAGAAGGGATTCCGTGTCCCAGGTGGAAGAAAGCATGTCAAGTGTTACACTCTAAATCACTTCGGAACACTGCATATATCGATAAATATCACAGCGAAACAAATAAATATGCATGCTCCCCACACAGTACAGTAGTTAATCATTTAGATTGTTTTATGTGCTACACATCCCCCCCAGTCGACGCATTTCCACCAGCCTGGAAAGCAATGGATGTCATGTATGTTCTCCAGTCGGTCCTCGCCACGAGCTTAGCATTATATTCTCGAACGCTAAGGATCAGACGCGGGCCCAGCACAAACGTCTGCAACATCTGGGCAATTAAACAGACGCCAACGTAGATAGCATTCCCCGTGGACAATGAGCTCTGCAAAGAATTGATGAGGGAACGGTCAGCTGCAGATGCCAACCAAAAGTAGGCGCACCGTGATATTTGGAGACAGACCACCAAGCGTGAAGCAAGCCATGATGGCGAAGCTAGCAAATGCGAAACTTCAGTGAAACAAGATAATAACATCCAAATCAGCGAACTCACGCTAGAAAATAAAATGCGTGACTCTCTATCAATACAGTGAAATAGCCTTCAATGGTAGCTCCTGAATGCCGTCGTCGCAGTTCATAGAAGTGCTTTATAACAATCCAGACTGCAAGAAAAAAGGCGAGAATCTCCCATACAGCGGTAGATATCATACTCTCGTAAGTTAGATCTATCATGACCGTGTTAATTTCGGTAAAGCAGGTAGGGTAACCGGAAACGACGGCCTCCTCTGGTAAATGTCCATGAGTTTCTAGACTTTCGTCAATGACAAAAGCTTACGCGCTGAAACACCCAGGTTTGCTATTACCCCCATAACTCCGGAAACGATCATGGAAGCCAGCAAGACCACAACAAGAAAGATGAGCAACTTTTTGGATCCCTGGTACATGGCATTCATCCGAGTAACCATGATGACTTCATACCCAAGAATGATATTTCAGTCAAGTCAATATCAATGTAAAAACTGAGGGTGAGCTCACCGCCCAACACGGCATTGACGATGATAGGGGTCCATGCCTGTATGTACCAAAGGATAGTGCCTGAAACCCCAATTACTTGGTGGAGGAACAAATAATTCAAATGAACTCACAGCTTTTGAAGTCGTTATCTTGAAGACACAAGTTGGCCGAGAATGTCACTCACCCCTATATATGAGCGTAGTTAGTAGTTGAATGGAGATGGTAGGCATCGGTGCAGAATACGCACTACATCGGTGATTGGGACAGGGAGATTCACTACATGTTGCCAGTCAGAAGAAGCGAACACGTTTGAGGATACATACACAGGAGGTTCATGCTGGTTGTGGAGATGATTTATTAGCACATTGCATTGTTAAGTAGATGGCCTTGCGAACGCACACAGAAACCAATATTCCAAAGTAGCGCACCTAGCACATGCTGAAGTCAGCGCATACCAACCGCACTTGTAATAATGACGTACAAAAACATATAGAAGGGTCATGAAGGTCCAACGTTGCCTCTGCCCCCAAGTCAACTGCACCATCCTGCTTGGTTGTAATGTAGAATTTTGCTCACCAAGATAAATTCGAACTGTTAATAGCATTCTTAGTGAGATGCGCAGGTCATGGTATCGGCTTACCTCTTGTCCGAATGTCAATGCTTGAATACTGCATACATATCAATGATCCCTCAAAACAGATTGTCTCGCTCACCCCAGTCGTATATTACCGCAGTAGAGCTTGCAGCTGCGAAGTGATAGTCAAAGATATTGAGATGTCACCATTGGGGTCCCAATCGCTCTCTACGAACCTACAAAATAGCTGGAAAGACGACCAAAACTGATGAGCGGCCATAAAGTAGGTTCATCTAAGACTATGGTCATATCGGGATGGGGCGGATTTGAGTACGTGCAGATATACCGCCGTCCATCGTTTTTATAGTGATTGTGTCCGTTTCTCGAATCAGCAACTTGACTGATCGCAGCAAATGATGTCGAATGTATTCATTGGAATCACGTAGAAAGGATAGCTGATAGCCACTAGTGTGAGAAGCCCAACACAGCACAGGGGTTAGTGTGAGGCGTAGCGCAGGGGGCGAGGTGGGTGGCGTAGGAATTGGGAGAATAGCGCAGATGTTGGCATCAGGGCCCAGGCAGGAGACTGGGACGCATGTGTTGTTGTAGACAGAGAATCGATACATAGTGACAGGTTCCCTTCCCTTTCAGAGAGTAAGGCTGGCGAGTTCGATGTCAATATTGTGTATTGTCAATGAACGGTCGATCATGATGAGGATGCGCACGGGTAAGGCGAAATTTGCAAAATTACACGATTGAGCAACAGATTGGTAGGAACGCCTGAGTCAATGTCGACTTCGGCGTTCAAATCTTTGGAAGGTTGACACGCCATTGACCTGTCTGTGGTAGTACATGGCAGGCTAGTTACGAGCCGAGTGACCACGTGAATTATTAATATGGTCCTAGACGCCATCCGATCATAAAGCGGTAACGTACCGGAGAAAATGACCACCGCTCTGCATCGTCTTGATGAGTCGGATAGTAGCTACATATACAGCAATTACGCAAAGCTTACCAACGAAGGTCATAGCCAAAACATGATCTATTGCTGCAATGGATAAGCTGGCTGCTTCAAATAAATTGTGACAACGGGTCTCTGATTCCAGAACAGAGTGCACGCTGACTTTGAAACAATATTCCAGGATCCAAGTGCTGGGGGTTCAGCGATACACGAGGGGCTAAGTGAACATTTGAGATTTTGATGGAACCTCTCGAGCTATTAGGTAGTAAGTCTATCTGGATTGGGGGATTTGGTGGGTCGGACGTAGCATCAGTGGCAGCTTAGCTGACTGGCATGTGGACTAAACTGAATTCGCTTTATAGCAATTTTCATAAATGTCCGTTGATGACCACGGACACTACGACAATTGCTATAAAACATCAATACGTCAAAAAAACGCAACTTTTCTGTGGAAAAGCTCTCGTGGATGGATGAAGAAATTGAAACGACTCGGTAACGATATTCAGTGTCACGCAGTCGCAGCAAGTCACATGATGAGCTCGGGCACTCTCCGGTTCGGTTGACCTTCGCTTCGGAATTGCCAGAAATCAGTCCATTAATATTCCTGCTTTGACGATTTAAGTGGTGCGTGTGTACACTCACTCATCCAGTCCCCTCCAAGAGATGGCAACCTCAGTTCAGCTCCCATCAGACGCAGTCCCCTTCAACATCTTCGTCTCCACGTCAATGCCTCCAAACGATAAATACCGTGGTGCTGTTGTCGAGGTGCGTATATAAGATTAATTATCGTTTGAAATTAAGATAAGCCAACGCATCATTGATTTTTAGGACCTACAACTTCCCCCTGCATTCTGTTTACCCTTTGCCGAATCCGTTTCTCGCGCGATGGAGTTAGCGTACGATCGTGACTTCTCCCACATACCGTAAGTGTGTTTCTTCAACGCGCGCTAATGACTGACTTTCCCGTTCAGTGTCCTCAACCGCGATCGTCGTCCGCTCGGGTACGTAGATGTCGCTGCTCTGAAAGAAAAGTGGGAAGCAGGCACAGCATCACCAGTAAGTATTGCCATTAGATCGATAGCCACCTTATATGCTGAATCCGACGCTCAGAACGACTCTATCAGCAAATACATGACCAAGTTCAATCGTAGCGCGTCTCAGTACTACACCCTCATAACACCCCTGACGCCCCTTGCGGAACTGGCAGAGTTTTTACAAGAAAATATCTTTGCGCTAGGTGCGTATTAAGCTGGATGCAGATCTGGCCCCTGACGGCTCTGATTATGATAGTTACGGACCAGGGCAAAAATTTCGTGCTTGCCGTGGCGACATCACAGGATTTGGACGTAAGCCAGCATTTTCTTTCTTCGTAGGATTATGGACTCATTTTGTGTCTCTAGAATTTCGTGACGCGTAGGGGCCGTTAGTCTCACGACTGATGGTTCATTTATCTCCTTACTCGTTTATTTTCGGTCATGTGGATTTATCTATCAAGTAGAATTTGTTTGAATATCATGCGGCGCCTGACTGTGCGTCGGCGTACTGTATTTGAGACGGGTTTGGTCACAGCAACGATAACTCACTTAGCTAGGTACGCATCAACCATCTAGCTGCTGGCCTGATGCCGATTCTGAGGGTCTTCAATGACCACACAGATATATCGGATATGGTGTAATGGTTAACATTACCGCCTCTCATGATCTGGTGAACGCGGTAGCTCGGGGTTCGATTCCCCGTATCCGAATTTTTCTTTGATCATTTTGACCGTGACATCATGCTCTTTCCAAGTTTTAGCAGTAAAACACGCCTCAAGTAACCTAAATACACCCGCAAGTGCTGGTCGCTCTCCTTTTTGATTCTCAAACCGCTTAACAAGGACTCGTGAACTTTAATCTAGATCGAAACTTGATCAACTTGGAAGACATCATCAGTCCGTAAGCACGCTGCACGCTAGCTTAGCACCTGAGTCCACGTACTCAGTTTATCATTGATACTGAAAGGTAAGCTTCTTGTATTCTACCTTCAAGTGGTGTAACAGTTGTGCGTGTGCGGCAGTCCAGCTGAACTTCCTATTTACAGTCTCTCGTTAATCGAACACGACGCAGCCTGAGTGTGCAAAATTCCGAATAATGAAGTGGTTTACTTCTAGGTGACGGTCGGGCCCGCTTCTGCCAGTTGTACCATTGGTCTAGACTCTAGACTCTAGTTGCTCGAAAACGTCCTGAACCGGGAACCAAGTGGACTGAGCCAAGGACTCGGAGGGTGATTTGAAGTCAGTAGGTAGTAAGGTATTTGTCTTGGTCAAGGCCTTGCACATTCGCAACAAGACAACCAACTTATCCATAGCTGAGCGGCAAGTTGCCGCGGCTGCCTACAAGTTGATTGGGTGCCTATGTGTTCTGGTGTGCACTTAGCTGCACTAAGGATGTTTGAGTCACATCGAGCTCGGTGAAGTTACGAGCCTCCAAGCCCTTCGCGATGACAATCCAGGCCGAACTTTACTATCGGATATGGTGTAATGGTTAACATTACCGCCTCTCACACCTAGGATTCGCGGTAGCTCGGGGTTCGATTCCCCGTATCCGAAATCAAATTTTTTTTTTTCGCATAGCAAGGAAAGGCAGTTTCACTATGGCAAGGGTTCTGACAATCGGCCATTTGAAAGTGACCCCTGCCATGAACTTAGCGCTGCCCCCTAGTAAGCAAGTGACGTGATAATCACGTGATGGAATGGGACAAGTTTATAGTTTAAACGCGTGAACGCGCTCTGCGCTGCGTGGCAGTGACTCAAGCACTCACCACTTGACTCTGAGTATGGCAAGCAATCGTCGCTCTCCGTCTCCAGAACCGCCTGGCCCTCAACCAATAAGGAGACTTCATGAGTCCCTCATTAACCGAATCGCGGCAGGCGAAGTGGGCTAATCGTGGTACAGACGCGAAAAAGTACTGACACAATTCACCCCTAGATCATACACCGACCCGCTTCTGCGCTAAAAGAGCTACTTGAAAACAGTCTCGATGCCGGGTCTACTTCAATTCAAGTCACCGTCAAGGATGGTGGTATGAAGCTGCTTCAGATTCAGGATAACGGTTGTGGCATTCGTGTATGTCACGATCTTCCTCACGTTCGCACCAAGGCACTTCATTGAGCTTATTTGAAGAAAGAAGACCTACCCTTGCTCGCTGAGCGCTTCACTACTTCCAAATTGACTACTTTTTCCGACCTCTCCAGGTTGACTACTTATGGGTTCCGAGGGGAGGCTCTGGCATCTATATCCCATGTCGCGCACCTTACAGTGATCACGAAGACCAAGTCAAATGACTGTGCTTGGAAGTGAGTATATAATTCATTGTGCACGGAACGAATACACCTGACGAGAATCCTTCAGGGCTGCATACCTGGATGGCAGTCTCGTTCCGTCGAAAGCGGGATACTCACCAGACCCAAAACCTTGTGCTGGAAACAACGGAACCACCATCATAGTACGCCCCTAAGAAGTTAAACATCTCTATCTCATCACTCAATCCATCACAGATTGAAGACATGTTTTACAACACACCTACTCGAATGTCTGCTCTCCGAAGCTCCTCTGAAGAATACGCGCGAATACTTGATGTAATGACCAAGTATGCTGTGCACAATCCGAAAGTGTCATTTGGGTGTAAAAAGGTATGTTGCTTCGAAAATCGTTGATGATATCCTATAATGCATCGTATAGGCTGGTTCCCTGAGTCCTGAACTCTCGACCCCATCCTGTTCGGATACATCTCAGGCCATTCGTCAGCTATACGGTCATTCCATAGCCAAAGAGCTTCTGCATGTCACGGCGTCTTCTGTTTCAGATGATAATACGGACATGGATGATTCGGACGATCCGGAAGCATGGTCGGCAGAAGTATATTTCACTAACGTAAACTACCAAGGCAAGAAGACCGCTCTCTTGTTATTCATAAATCGTCAGTTTCCACTGTTCTTGTATTGCTATCTTGCCAATTCTGACGCGTATTTCATGCAGACCGTCTAGTGGAGTCGCATCGTATAAAACGGTCTATTGAGAGCGTATACAGCGGTTTACTGCCAAAAGGTTCTTTTCCTTTCGTATATTTGAGGTAGGACCGAAATCTACCATTGGGATATAAAAATAATAATTCCGCACAGTATAAACCTCGACCCGAGGTCTGTAGATGTCAACGTGCATCCGACCAAGCGCGAAGTCCACTTTTTGAATGAAGAAACCATCATCGAGCGGATATCGGATGCTATTCAGCAGAAGCTTGCAGGTCAAAGTCAGTCGCGGGTATTCGAGTATCAGGTACATCGAAAGATATACGCTACGCCCGTACTCTGAACATCTTCATTGACAGACACTGCTCACTGGGGGCATCGCACAATCAGGATCACGGAAGGGCAAGGAAAAGGCAAGTAATGTTGATGAAGTGGAAGGAGATGGCGAGGGGCCAGAGGATGATCGCCGAGTTTCAGAAAGTCAAGGTAAGCGTTTGCACAAGTCTCAGGCAAATATCATTTGAGTCTTGCTCAGTAGCAAAGAAGGTGCTTTCTCAGCACAAAGTCCGAACCTCCCTACAAGATCGCACATTAGACTCGATGATTCCAGTCACTGATCCGTTGAGAAATGACTCCGACGAACCCGTAACGGCCATCCGGTTACGAGACATCAAAGAATCGACGTGCCATTTTACATCTATAACAGAACTCAGGCGTCTTGCTAACAAACGCATACATTATGGTAGGCTATGCATATGCTTTCGCTACGAAAACGCTCTTACCCACAAAAACGTAGACCTGACCGAAATCATCAAGAAACATACATTTGTCGGCGTGATTGACCTGTACAGGTGTCTTACGTTGATTCAACACAACAAGAACCTTTACATGGTCAATCATGCTGCACTAGCGTGCGTTCCTGAGCTCCTTCGAAGTTCGAAGGCTTGTGTTGATGTAGTCACCGCAGAGAGGAAATGTTCTATCAGCTTGCGTTGTTGCAATTTGGAGACTATAGCCGACTCAAACTTGATCCTCCTCCATCTCTTCGAATGCTTGTCAAGTTTGCAGTCGATGCTGAAGAAGACACAGCACGTAGTGGCATGAGCAAGGACGAAATTGTCGATGTATGATCAAATTTCAATACTTTGGCAGATCTACTCAGCATCCTTTCATAGCGAATAGTCAAGACCTTGATGGATCGCCGAGAAATGCTGCTCGAATATTTCTCCTTGGACATTTCAGAGACTGGCGATGTTAAGACACTTCCACACCTCCTTCGCGAGTACACTCCTAACCTCGACAAGCTGCCTATGTTCCTCATGCGTCTTGGACCTCAGGTATACCCCAATGCCATATTGCCATTCACAGATACTAATTTGCCTTAGGTTCTCTGGGAATCTGAGCAAGAGTGCTTTGGTTCCTTCATGCGCGAGCTAGCGTACTTCTATTCCCCAGCCCCATTGTCCGTCGGATTAGCGCCCGCCTCTGACGAAGACGAACAAGAAAATTTGAAATCTGAAGCATGGCGCATACAAAACATACTATTTCAGGCGATGCGCAAATACCTGGCAGCTCCCAAATTCCTGTTGGACAACGACGTCGTGCAGGTGGCGAGCTTACCAGATCTTTACCGGGTCTTCGAACGTTGTTAGGCTTCATATCATGCGGGAATTTTTATCCGTGAATGCTGGTACATAACTCTAGAGCTGCCATATTGTACGTAGACTACAGTGATCTTATAATGCATCGATAACAACGAAAGCGTGAGATAAGTTAATACAGTCCCTTGCCATTGGGAGCGGTACGGTAAAAGGCTGGAGAGTCATACTTGAATGCGTCAACCTCGGACTCCGTATCAGATTCGTCGCTGGATTCGTCCGAAATGTCCCGTGTTCCACAGATCTGAAATACATCTCCGAATGGAGTCTGAGGCATGTCGTTGGAGTTGTCCGTAGATCTAGCCAGAATGGAGGCGACTCTATCTTCCAGCTGCTGACTGGGTAGGAGTTGCGTCGGAGGCTTCGTCTTCTGGAAGAACTCGCTTAGCTCGTGCAGGTCCTGAACCAGGACTCCTAAGTCTTCATCAAGCTCATCCGCGAACATGGGCTCTTGGGCCTCTGGCTGGAAGTACACTTTCGATATCCGCGACGATGTCGTGAACATAAGTGCAACCGCAAGGACGTTGGCGCGACATTGGGCTTGTCGATGTGATACACGTGCAATGCACCAGCCAGAATCTTCTGGAACACCAAAGATCTCTGTCTCACCCTCACTCGCACCCGCACCGGCAAGCGTCGAGACGTGCATGCTCATGCGAAGGACCTGTTTGGCTGTGAGCCCTCCAGTGATCTTCGTTGGCTCCTCCAATACATCAAGAGCTTGCGTCGCCAACTCTCCTTCCACCAACCGCAATAAGGGCATAAGATGCTCTGTGCCCAATGACTGCAAAGCACGTTGCTGGAATAGGACTTTAAGGACGTGCATTGAGTACACTTGGAGCCATCTCTCCTTGTTGAGCACCAAACTCAACAACAGAGTAGCGATATCTGTCCAGTCATCGGGAGGGTAGTGGTCACGTAGACTGCTAATGGACTGGCGCAGGAAATCATCTTTGGTCCTGAACCGGCGCTTGACAAAAGAAACCATGATCCGACTGATACTCTCCAGACCATCTTCATCAGCTAAGTCCGCGATTGAAGAACAGAAGTCGTTTAGAGGCCCATCATGCTGGTCAGTGC